GCAATATTAAAAACGTTTAATTGCCCAGCAAGCCTCACTGGTTTGATCAGTCAGTGTATAGTTTTATCTTAAGAGTAACATTCCACGAACTAGAGAGTAGAATTTAGCTGCTCAACCAAAGTCCCACCCATATCCATAACCCACGCCTTGTCCACCAGTGGAATCAACTCTCTGCGAGGAAAGAAAATAAGATCCAAGCACTAATCACGCAAGTTTACCGCAGATCATGGCTCACAACGAGCAACGTCCTCTCCTTCTTTAAGTATGTGAGGTAAGAATGTAGCTTGGAATTTTTGGTGAGGTGTTGCTCTAACGAAAGGTGAAACCGTGTGATGGTGCTCAAGATCCGTCATAGCATATATGGAATGGAAAATGTACATATGTGTGACATGGTGAACCAGTGAAGACTCGTGTCTCTCCACGTGGACTAGCCACGTGGCACAGGGCCACTCTCAACACTCCCAGTGGGACTGCGGCCATCACGAGTGATGCTCATCAGTGGAGAAAGTCCCAGCCCTTCGCAATGGACTTGAAATCGATCTTGGGGTAGTGCTTTTGTGAAGATATTTGCAACCTGAGTGGTCATGTCGCAGTAGATCAGCTCAATTGGGGTAGAATGCATAATACAGCACCCCCCCTTATTTAGGGTGGGCCCCATTTGTTTATTTGGATTTGCATGCCACCTCATTGCTTACTTGCGCATGCCACCTCATTATTATAAATTAAAGAGATAAATCTTTGAGATGCCCGAGTGGGACTGCTGCCACGGAGGACGCGAGGAGTGAGGCGTGCTGCCACGGAGGACGCGAGGAGTGAGCGTGGCAAAGGGGCAACCACGTAAGAGTGAGGGGTGCTGTATTATGCATTTCTTCCAGCGAGGATTGGCTGCTAATGCAATGCAGCTTTGATTGTCGCAGAAGAGGCGAGTGGGAGTCTTCACACTCACACCAAGGTTAGAAAGTAGTGAGCGTAACCACACACCTTCTTTGGTAGCTTGTGAGGCTGCCAAATATTCTGCTTCAGTACTAGAGGTTGCCACTGTACTTTGCTTCCTGCTGCACCACGAGACTGTCGCACTGCCCAGGGAAAACGAATAGCCAGAGGTGGACTTGCGTGTGTCACAGTCTCCCCCAAAATCAGCATCACAGTAGCCCGTGAGGGTAAGCGCTTTTCCCTGGTAGCACAATCCAAGGTAAGTAGTACCTCGAAGGTACCTGAAGATGCGTTTCACCGCTGCCCAATGTTGAGATCCAGGATTAGCCAGGAATTGGCTCACGGCAAAAGAAATATCTGGGCGCGTACAAACAGCTGGATACATGAGACTGCCAACAGCTTGTCTGTAAGGGATGGAGTCCATGGCTCTCTTGTCTTCCTCTGTCTCAGGAGACATGGCTCGTGAAAGCTGGCAGCCTAGTTCCATTGGTGTCGCCACTGGATTAGAGCTCGTCATAGAAAACCTGGCCAGCATATCTTCTATATACTTGGCTTGGTGAAGATAGATAGTGCGTTGAGAGCGATCACGCACAAGTTCCATGCCAAGAAAGTAGGAAGCCGAGCCAAGAGTTTTCATCTCAAATTGGCTGCAAAGATCTCGCTTAACCTGGAGAAACATTAAGCGATGATTATGGATGACAAGAGTATCATCAACATAAAGAGCGATGATCACAAATGATTCACCCTCCACCCGAATATAAAGATTCGGGTCTGCCTCGCTACGGGAAAAGCCCACACTTAGTATAAAATCGTCAAAGCGTTTGTACCAAGATCTGGGTGCTTGTTTCGAGCCGATCTGGGTGCTTGTTACAAGCCGTAGACAGCTTTCTTGAGAAGCCAGAGATGATCCTCTTTTCCAGCGGCTAGAAATCCTTCTGGCTGTGCCATATAGATTTCTTCTTCAAGCGCACCATAAAGGAATGCCGTGGTCACATCCATCTGTTCCAGATCAAAGTCTCCCACCGCAGCAAAATTAATCAAGGAACGAAGAGTAGAATGTTTAACCACTGGAGCGAAGGTGTCGTTGTAGTCAAGTCCAGGAACTTGCGAGCATCCTTTCGCCACCAATCGCGCCTTGTAGCGATCCGAGCCATCAGGATTAAGCTTCAGAGCATACACCCACATGCTCTTGATAATCTGGCGATTGGAAGGCACAGTTGGAACAAGAACATGTGTCTCGTTCTTTTGCTGTGAAGCAATCTCGGCTTCCATTGCTACACGCCAGTAAGACGCTTCCTGTGAGGCCATGGCTTCTCCATAGGTCCTCGGAACAGTAGGAGTCCCAGCTGCACGAGAGGAGACCATTGCTCAGTAGGCTACTTCCAGACTTTCAAGGATATGGGAGAAACACAAACTGGGAAAATGCTCAAGCGATTGAGAAGTGATGGTGGAGGCGAATTCACTTCCAATGCTTTCAACCAGCTGTGTGAGCAAGGAGGGATTGTGCGAGAACTTACAACGCGAGAGACTCCACAACAGAATGGCGTAGCTGAGCGCAAGAATCGCACACTAGTGGAGAGTGCTCGGGCAATGCTACTTTCCAGTGGTCTGCCTCGCAGCTTCTGGTTTCACGCTGTCTTGACGGCGAACTATCTCCAGAACCGGCTCCCCACCTCTGCCCTTGCTGGCATCACTCCTGAAGAAGCATGGAGTGGCAAGAAACCCACAGTTACGCATCTGAGAATATTCGGGTGTGAAGCGTGGGCACACATCCCTGATGGAATGCGCAAGAAATTGGACCCCAAGAGCCAGAAGGCTGTGTTTGTGGGCTACAGCCTCGATCACAAAGCCTATCGTCTCTGGAATCCAATCACGAAGCAGGAGATCCTGAGCAGAGATGTGGTTTTCAACGAGAATTCTTTTCTTCCTTCTAGTCAAGGTTCTACTTCCAGACCTACCTTGACCGAAGAAAATGACGTTGAAGCGGAACAAGATCAGTTGACTGTCGGCACGATCACTGTGCCGCTTCAAACAGTCCCTACGCAACAACCCATGCCCGCTTCTACTCCAACACCACCAACCCCGCCGCCTCCTCCAGATCCTCTACGCAGATCGATCCGCACAAGGCGCACTGGACGACTAAGAACCTGGATCTAGACTTCAACGAGTGGTGGGATTGGGTATCGGCACCCATGGCAGCCACTGTTCCTACAAATCCGCCTCCAAATCCACCACCTATTTCCCCTCCCATCACAAATCCGACTGTGCCTACAGCGGATATCGTTTCAGTGGACGCAAATCCACCAAAATTTGATGGGAGGAACTGGCGCTTCTGGAAGACAAAATTCGAATCCTATATGGATGAACGAGGCCTCTGGGACATCACCACAGGAACTGAGACACTTCCAGATACAGCTACAGTGGATGAAACTGCGAAGTATCGCAAGAAGGACCGGAGAGCTTTGGGCAAATTCCATGCAGCGCTGGAAGGGCGAGAATTCCATTGCATTGGACGGTGCAAGAGTGCAAAGGAAGCGTGGGAGGCCATGAAGCAGACTTACCAGATCCCTTCAACATCCCATCGCATTTTTTTACGGAAGCAGCTTCATGCACTGGTGATGGCTGAAGGGGACGACCTCAAGGATCATCTTGCTGCAGCGAGAACAATCTTAGATGATCTTAAGGATGTGGGAGCAAACATAGAGGATGAAGAAGAAGCAGAGCTGGTGCTCGTCACACTTCCTCCATCCTTTGATCCTCTCATATGTAGCAGCCGCCAGGACGATGATCTGAGACGAAGAGCAACAACAGGATCAGAGGCCGTTGCATTCTACTCTTCTCTCAGGAAAGAAACAGTGAACAAAGGGAAACAAGGAGCCTCTTCATCCAAGAAGCCCAAGTGTTCTCATTGCAACAAGAAAGGCCATGACGAAGCTCAATGCTGGGTGAAAAATCCATCTCTCAAGCCTGTAAGGAACAATGCAAAGAAAAAGGTGGTACACGCCTTCATCTTGTCACGAGCTATGGCAGTGGCAGCACTGTCTACAGAGTGCATCTACCTGGATTCTGCTGCTACAGACCATATGTTCAACAGTGATAAGTACTTTGAAGCCTATGATCCTACAGCCACAGAGGAGTATGTCATCGTTGGCAATGCCCAGCAGCTTGCTGTGAAAGGAATTGGAACCATCAAGTTCACTTTACCACAAGGAATAGTCGTAAAGATCCACGAGGTTCTTTATATTCCTGGTTTATGTGCTAATTTGTTCTCTGTGGGACAATTTGCTGAGGATGGGTATCAGTTCGCCATTACACCTCGCCAATTCCAGCTGATCTCGACCACAGGAGCCATCCTCACAGCGTCCCGGCCTGGACGGCGTGACCTCTACCGCCTTACCATGCTGCCAGATCTTGCTGGACGGAGTCTGGGCCTACACGCACAAAAGACAACGACCAGTCACTCACTGGAGCTTTGGCACGCACGCCTGGGGCATCCTAGTGCTGATAGAATCAAGCATCTCGCACGCGAGCAGATGGTTGAAGGTCTAGACCTGGACCCAAGAGCCGTTCTTCCATTTTGCCAGGGCTGTCAGCTAGGAAAATCTACTCGCCAACCTTTCCCCAAGACTGGAGCATCTCGAGCTACAGCTCTGTACACACTGATGTGTGTGGCCCGATGGCCACCACAGCAGTGGGAGGTTTATCAGTTTCATTGATGACTACAGTCGTCGCACTATGATCTACCCTATGGCTCGCAAATCCCAATCGTTACACCCTCTTGCAAGGCCTGGAGCGCTTGGATTAGGGCACGCCTCTGTCTACGTAGACGGAGGCTCCGATTCACCCTAGCAAGTGTCGCCCTGATCCTACGGTTTCGAATTCTTCTCGCTCTCCCAGGCATTGCTCTGATACTATCTAACGAAAGGTGAAACCGTGTGATGGTGCTCAAGATCCGTCATAACATATATGGAATGGAAAATGTACATACGTGTGACATGGTGAACCGGTGAAGACTCGTGTCTCTCCACGTGGACTAGCCACGCGGCACAGGGCCACAGTTGCTGATCGCAAAAATGGCGAAGAGGTTTGCAATTTTCTTTTTCCTTCTCTATATCAAGCTTGCAGGGGTGCCAGAATGCTGAAACGGATTCTACCAGCCGGTGAGCTTGTTTACTTTTCGCGTGGCTATTGGTGAAATTCATGGTGTTCTTGCTTTTTAAGGTTGCTTCGACTCGACTATGCTGCCGCGATGCGTCCCCATCCTGAGAAGGTGCAAAGCTTACTTGCTAATTTTTGTAGATCTTCTAAGCTTTGCTGTTTACAGGCTCAAAGAGGGGGTGAAGATGCTTTGCAAAGGCGAGAATGAATTGGAGCGGTGGAAAGCTAGATGATACCACGGCAGTTGTGGCGTTTGTGACCTGATATTTGAGTCGCGAAGGGTAAACATTTCAAGCAGTTTTTGCGGAGGCCAGTGTAAATTGCTCAGGCCGTTAATTTTTGCGGTATTTCCGGTTCTTACGCTAATTGAGGTATGACATCCTTTTGATTTGATTCAAACCGTTCTTTGTGTCTTTTGTGTCCAGCCTTCATTTTAAATCGCAGGTAGCTGCTGCTGAATCTTCCTTTTAGAAATCAAGGTTTTGTTCCATCAGAAGGTTCACAACCTGAAGTTCTAACCTCACTGGAGATTGAACACCGGACAGGACAGGTATCTCTTCTGTTTAGAGGGAACTGCTCAGGGTCACTTGAGGTGTTAGACATGTAGTTTAGCTGGACGATCACGAGCAAGCTCAAGATACTCAAGCTCTCCGGCAACATGATCTCTGGCTCGTCCTTCTCGGGGGTACATCGAGCTGCTAGGCCTTTGGCACGATGGGATCTTTTGCGACTGCGTGGCTCTCCAGGAGCTCTTCAACAGTCGCACTCCCCCGTCCAGCAGCAAATTCCGGAATTTCATTCTCGGCTCTACATCTCTCAGCCATCCAAATGGGTGTGCGGGCTTGGAAGTGCTCGAACAACGTTTCGGAGGAGCTCGTGTGGGCCCTATCATGTCTCTCAGCTTGGGCAGACTCTTTGAGTTTGCTCAGATCTCTCGGAGAACCGGTTGAAGGGGATGGTTCTGAAGGACTAAGTGGTGGAAACCCTGTTACAGTCGAATAGCAACAAAGAGCTCACGGAGAACAGCTTGAAGGACAGCTCCAGGCGAGCTCGTGTGGAGGATCCTTGGATACCGCTTTCATCCCAGTACCGTGAGACTCCACCAGAAAGACGGTGAGGAAGGTGGCGACAAGCCAATTGGCTGGAGCTGTGACTTCCTTCTTTGTCTCGAGTATTTGGTCGCGTGTCCCGTCCACATGGTGAGCCATGGAATTGTTTCTTAGTTGCTCAAATCTTAATTCTTTCTGATCTCCAGGTTGGTAATCACCATTACCAACTAAGAGGAATTTTTTGCATTGAGGCTTTGCAGTTCGGTAGGCGACGAAGAAAAACTTTCCAGGATCGGAGGATGAAAAGTTACAGCCCGAGCTTGCTGTTCTTCGTGCTTGTCTTCTCCGCTGCGGCACTGATACTCGTATGGATTCTCGACATAAAAATTCCGACTCCGCGATGATGTCCTGGAGCCGAACTCTGGGATCAAACTCCGCATCAGCAACAACACCACAAGCTACAAGGGCAGTGACACTTGCAGGAGTAGGAACGAGTACGACTTCTACAGCCGCCGAAGATCGGCGAGCTTCGAGCCATCCGAGTCGCTCCAACAGAAAATCCTAGAGTACGAGGCTTTGCACGGGAGGTGCGCTCCGGGGCCCGAGCAGTGCGCGAACTGTAGTACATGCGGCTACCTCGTCTACGTTCCCGCCAACCAGGGGATCGGCAACAAGATGGTGGCTATAGTAGCAGCGTTTCTCTACGCGCTGCTCACCGACAGGACGATGCTGATCGCGAGGTTGGAGAACCTGGACACGCTCTTCTGCGAGCCGTTTCCATCCAGCTCCTGGCTGCTGCCGTCGAAGCACCTCGAGTTGGCGCCGTGGGACGCCTCCAAGTGGATTGGGAGCCTGGCGGGTTCGCCCAACTGCAGCCGCGGCGTCGACGTGAGCTTCCCCGAGGTGGTGGTGGCCTATCTCGATTACAACTACAGGGACCACTTCTGCCAAGATCAACAGCAAGCTCTCAACTCCAGCGCGCGGTGGATCGTCCTCTCCTCCGGCCAGTACTTCACTCCGGCGCTCTACAACGTCCCGACTTTCAGGAGCAAACTCGAGGAATTGTTCCCACAGCAGGAGGCCATCTTCCATCTCCTGGTGAGGTACCTGTTGCTTCCCAGTGACTTCGTGTGGGACAAGGCGGCCAGGTACTACGACGCATACCTGGCCCAGGCCGAGCTTCTAGTCGGGGTCCACTTGCGAAACCACATCTGGTTCTCGCCACCCAACCTCGCCGAGGATACGTTCGACTGCCTGGTGCAACAAGGCGCGCTCGCAAACACCACCCAGGAGCGAGCTCCCAGATCGTCGGTGAGGAAGAACAGCAAGAAGGTGGCGGTGCTGGTGGTGTCGCTCAACTCGCAGTACTCGGAGACGCTCAAGAGCAAGGTGCTGGGATACGATCTAGCGGACGGCTCCTCGGTGTCCATCCACCAGCCGAGCGTGGAGGGGGTGCAAAACACAGGGAACTTGGATCACGACGCACAAGCGGTGATGGAGATCTACTTGCTGTCGATGAGCGATGTCCTGGTGACGAGCCCGCCATCCACGTTTGGCTACTCGGCAGCGGGGCTGGCGGGGTGAGGCCCGTGCAGTTCGTGTGCGACCAGAACAAGAGCGTGGTTTGCTCGGTGAGGGAGACGATGGAGCCGTGCTACCACGTTTATCCGGCTCAGTCCGCGCTGGACAACATTGAAAAGTGCGAATGCGGCGTGGGTTTCAGACTAGTCTAAAGGACGTTCTTAGAAAGGATGTTGTCTTAGAAAGTTCTTAAAGCTTTTAAGATTTTATTTTCTTTCTCGTGATAGATTTCTAAGTTGCTCCTTGGGTGCATCACGCAAATCTAGCGTCATTTGTAGACTTGCGTGGTCAGGTCATGCTCTTGGCCCACGCAAAGTTGCGCCAAGGCTGCCTTGAAATCCAGGTAATTTGGTACCAAGAGCTTATAGACTTCAAATGGCGAGCTGTCTTTTGTGCAGGACTTTGAAAAACTGCTCGTATAGTGTTCTGGCGTGGAAGCTAACGAGTCTTTTTGACAAATGGCACGCGCAAAGGACTTGACTGTTTACCAAGCCCGGTGGAGAACTTTTTGTGTGAATATAAAACACTGGAGGCCCATTGGATCCAATCGTATCGGAGCAAGCACAGCTCTTGGTTCTTATACAACGATATCATCACTACGTTTAGTGCTTTGTGGCTGGAATGGATCGTGGAAGGATGCTTCTTGCCATCGCATTGGTGATCATGATCAGCGGCAACATCGAATGTTCCAGGCCGGGCTCGTTTTCGGTGATGAGCCAGCAGGCCGAGCTTTTCAATTTCGAATTGCGCCTTCCTGTTGTTAACAAGATCCACACTCTTCTCGAAAGGACCTCCCGGAGAATGCTCCCCCAGCGTCAGCCCACGCCACCCTCCGGCCCTTCCGAGGACAACAACGATCGTGATTGAAGAGGCGGACAGCCACGTGGCTGACACGTCACGCTAGGAGACACGTCTGGCTTTTTTCATCAATTCTCCTCCAAATCCTCCACCTCCACTCCTTCCCTCCCATTACAGTCACACATCAATTTACCCAGCTTGCGTCCATGAGGCGCTTGTCTCACCAAGGTGAAGGGGAATGATAAAGGCAACTTTCCATTTTTCCCTGTCAAGAGACTTGAGAGCTGCGTGGAATTCCCAGAAGTTCCACTCCAGCAAGTAAAGTCTCCACAAGACTTTCAGGGATGTCTTGTACAGCTGCGAGCAATCAGCCGTGGTGCTGGCTTGCCCTTGTTCTGGCAAGAAGATCTGCAAAGAGGAGCGGCTGCAGTGAGTCTTGAAGATTCGCAGGTCGTTCGGATTGGGCATTGGCAGCACTGGCAAAGGCAGATTTTCTCCCACTTGACGTGATGGAAATGCACGTCTGGTGAGATGATCAGCGCCTTGGAGACAGGATTGTAGACCTTGTAAGCCTTGTGTTCAATGCCATAGCCTAGGAAAATGCCTCGTTCGCTTGTTGGAGTGAGTTTTTTTTCTAGTTTTAGAGGGGATATGGACGCCATGGAAGGTGCGCTAATCCATTCGAATTCCACTTTGTGTAAGAACCCTTGACAATCCTGGACCTCAACATTGGCAAGCACTTAAACGCGTCTTTTGGTACTTCCGAGATACGTTTTCTTACGGTCTTAAGGCCAAGAGTCAAGCTTACTGGGCTGGCTTTGGCTAAATTGTTTAGCCTTCACAATGCAGTTAGCAGCAAGAAGAAGAGCGTCGTTGCCTGCTCCAGCTGTGAGGCGGAGGCTAGTTCCGCATGCAAAGAGGCCATCTGGCTTCGCCGCCTCCTCAACGACACCCGGCCCAACACCAATCTACTGTGACAATCAAGGCTACATCGCCTCGAGCAAACATCACAAGATTAATTCCCCGACGAAACACGCACCACGCTGGGAGACACGTCCAGTTCTTTCCATGTTCTTGTGATTCCAATCTCGATAATGCAATCTTAATTGAACATCACAACAGCCTGGAAATCGAGTCCACTGCTTCATCCCACCAAACAATCTGATCTCGTGCACAGCATGAAACGAACATTCTCTGTGCCTCTCCTGATAGAGCCATACAGAACCTTCTCATGTCCAGCCACTTGATTATTCTATGCAGCACACTCAAATACGTCCAGGTAAATCTCGAAATCCTCTCAAAGTAGGCTAAAGGAGATACTTTGTCATCTTGCCAAAAGCCCCTTCTAACACATGCTTGAGGGTTAGAGAGGGCTTGGGTGAGTTGGCAAGGTGTAGTTTTGGTCTTTCACTTGAAAGATCATGGACCTCACTTCACTACAGTGTCACCTTTAGCCCATTACAATGCTGCATAAAGGGATCACTGCGTTTGCTCATTGTGGCGAGGGCGAGAAAGTCCTCGATGGGAGCGTGGAAGGTGACACTCCGGCCTGCGCCTACATCAGCTCCGTGAATCGCAACCAGGATTTCTTTCTTCTCGTGACAGGGGATTTTAGGATCGCGCCAGGCAGGGTCTGCATGATCGATATCTTCGGCCGTGGCAGGCAACTGGAGAATGCCGAGGAATTGCTGCGTGCCATGCCGTTTGTGCCGGATGCTCTGGTTTTTAGGGTTTTGGTGGCATCTTGCCGATCGCATTACGATATATTTCGGGCATTGGATCGACGCATGTCCTGGCAAATCGCTCCAGGAGCGTGTTTAAAATGGAAATTGGCGGGAAAGCGATGTGTTTGTTTTTTATTCTATCTAGCTGTGCTTACGAAAGTCTCCACTATCGAAAGGTAAGAGCTTTGGAAAAATAATTCATTTATATATGTAACTTAGTCAAGTCGCAATTTGGAGAAACTTTCAAGTCATGCCGATGAGCTCTCTCAACTTCTGGATGAGACCACGGTCGTCAATCTGGAACGCTTTCGCGATCACGTCGTCATTGATTGGAGGATTGGAATCAAACACCGCCTTGGCCACCTGAGTTGCCCCGGGGTTTTGGCTGTTGAAGCCAGCCATCGCAACCGCAGGCTCCTTTCCAACGTTGAGCTGGAAGTGGACGAGTCCCCGAGGGAAGACGAACAGATCTCCGGGATAGAGCATTTGGGCGAAGAGCTTGTTGTCCGGCAAGGTGGTGACGAATCCGACTAAGAGGTTCCCGTGCACGAGGAAGAGCAGCTCGGATCCTCGGGGATGGACGTGGGGGGGATTGGTGCCGCCGGGAGCATAGTCGACGCGGGCAAAAGCTACACCAAAGGTGTTGAGACCGGGGAAATTGTTGACACTCGCCAGCGTGACGTTGGAGCCGAGCTTGTTGTCGGTGTTCCCGGGAGTTGCCAGCAGGCTCGACTTGAAGTCCTCGGCTTTCACATCGGCGGCCGCCTTGCAGACGACGCCGTTCACTTTGATCTTGGAGCCATTGTCTGCAACACAAAAGTCCTGCAGCATATCTTCATCCGCGGCATGCACAAACAAGATGGAGCTGATTGCTAGGAGGAAGGATAGAACAAAACGAAGATGAGCCATCTTGCGAGCTTGGAAAAGACTGATGGAGCTATATGAGGGAGGGGCAGGCATTTTATAGCCGGAGGAGGGGAGGCGAGGTCCTTTGGATGACTTCGTCGTGAATCGTGCACGATTTTAGGTACACGGTCTTCTCTTCCCTTCTATTTCATTTTTTACTCTTGCTGTCCGCGTAACACAATCTGATTTGTTTGCTGCCAAGTCGTCTCGGAAGTTTTCTTTTACCGGGCTTGTCTAGAGCCGTCAAAATCATCTTTTATGTGTGTAGATGATGACGACCTTGGTTTTGATGGTAAGAACCGGTCTCAGTGAAACTCGAGTTTTACACGGTCTTAAAAACTTGACACTAAATTGCTTTATTCTTCTACCAGAGACTTTTTATGTGTGGAGTTTTAACGGAATTATTATGGATTGTGTAGGTCCATTGCTGATACAAATAAACTATGGGTATATCGACCAAAGGTACGTCTATGTAGGTTATCAATTTTGCAGACAACTGTGTAGAAGGATAGTTGCTCACATAGTCATGAGACATACATAGTCTTAGTCATTGTGATTATTGCTTGCATCATTGTCATGGGCAAAATAGAATGTTTATTGCTGCCACTTTATTAATCAGTTTAATACAATAAACTTATGATATTAAAGAGTTTTATAATTTGTCCCACCATTGCAGCATCCAGTTGGGGTGGTGGGAGTGAACTGAGAAAATACTCCTGTGCTGCTGTGTGAGCATGTCAATCAGTCAGCTGACCTCAGTATCAGTGGTCGTGGGCAGTGCATTCTAAAGCTCTTGGACTTGTTGGGCAAAGTCGGGCACCCATGCTGGCATGACTTGGTCGTGACCACATTGAGTTCTGGTTGTTGATAGGAGTGTTGTAAGTAGCATATGCATCCTAGTCAGACATGAGGCGGTCAAGAACTCTTGGAATTCCCTGCCATTGCAAAGAAACAAAGAAAAAATATCAATGGCTAACTTTCATTCACCATTTTGTCAAGGAAAAATCTAAACAATACACCACATTATTAAAGAATAGTTTGGCTGACCAAGATGTAATTGTTTGTACTACTCCTGTTCCATTTGGTGCCCAATTGTGTAGTGCTGTTAACAATGTAGAGTTGGGAGGCGCCATTAGTCATGTGGATGTCCTCCGGTGCTGCCTGGTTCGAGGAGCCCTTCCGCTGTTGTTAGTTGAGCCTGCGAAGTCCGTTGCAATGTTAAAAACGTTTAATTGCCCAGCCAGCCTCACTGGTTTGATCGGTCAGTGTATAGTTTTATCTTAAGAGTAACATTCCACGAACTAGAGAGTAGAATTTAGCTGCTCAACCAAAGTCCCACCCATATCCATAACCCATGCCTTGTCCACCAGTGGAATCAACTCTCTGCGAGGAAAGAAAATAAGATCCAAGCACTAATCACGCAAGTTTACCGCAGATCATGGCTCACAACGAGCAACGTCCTCTCCTTCTTTAAGTACGCAAGGTAAGAATGTAGCTTGGAATTTTTGGTGAGGTGTTGCTGATCTCTCTATCTCTTGAAGCGCCCGAAGAGACAACGCATGTTACTTTCGATGAATCGGCTGTTTCCCTCCCACAACCGGCCAAGACACACAACTCGGCTTGCAAAAATGGCGAAGAGGTTTGCAAATTTTTCTTTCCTTCTCTATATACTGAAGTCTCAAGCTTGCAGGGGTGCCAGAATGCTGAAACGGATTCTACCAGCCAGTGAGCTTGTTTACGTTTCACGTGGCTATTGGTGAAATTCATCGTGTTCTTGCTTTTAAGGTTGCTTCGACTCGACTATGCTGCCGCGACGCGTCCCCATCCTGAGAAGGTGCAAAGCTTACTTGCTAATTTTTGTAGATCTTCTAAACTTTGCTGTTTACAGGCTCAAAGAGGGGGTGAAGATGCCTTCGTCACTGAAGGCTCCTGGATGGGTGTTGCTGATGGTGTTGGGGGCTAGGGCGGAGAAGGTAAGACAAATCTTTCTTTGAGTCTGTTTTTTCAAAAGAGTTTTTACTGGTTTTCAGGCATTGATTCGGGGATGTATTCTCGGGAGCTTATGGGACACTGTAAGGCATTGGTTGTAAACAGCAAAGGGAAACCGGACCCCAAGGACGTGCTTGTCAAAGCCGCCAGCAGTACAAAGGCCCAGGGATCAGCAACGGTCCTTGTGGCTGCATTGTTTGAGCAAGTAAGCTAGTCTGATTTGATGTTTGAGGCTGAGTCGGGTCATATGTTTCAGACACTGTATGCAGCAAACTTGGGAGACTCGGGGTTTATCATAGTTCGCAATTGGCAAGTAGTTGCAAGCTCGGAGCCCATGCAGCATAGTTTTAACTTTCCGTTTCAAGTTGGAACATTTGGTGACCACATCCGACGGTTGCAGAGGTACTCTTGCTTTTCCCTTAAGTTCGCTAATTTTCCGTCTACAGGAATTCAAGATCCCTGTCTGCAAGGGGGACATCATTGTTATGGGAACTGATGGCCTTTTTGACAATCTCTTCAACAACGACATAGTCGAAGTTCTTAAAAAATCTGACCAAGTCAACTTGAAGGTGAACTCTCGCTGTTGAAGAATCTCAAGATTGCTAATATTCCCTTCACTTTACAGGCATGTAGCTGGGGCGTAGGCCGAGCGTTTGGACAGCCCGTTTTCTAGGGGGGCTGCAAAGGCGAGACTGAATTGGAGCGGTGGAAAGCTGTTGTGGCGTTTGTGACGTGATATTTGAGTCGCGAAGGGTAAACTTTTCAAGCAGTTTTTATGACACCCTTTTGATTTTATTCAAACGGCTCATCTTTGTGTCTTTGGTGTCTAGCCTTCATTAGAAACTGGTTTAAATCGCAGGTAGCTGCTGCTGAATCTTCCTTTAAGAAATCAAGGTTTTGTTCCATCAGAAGGTTCACAGCCTGGAAGTTCTAGCCTCACTGGAGATTGAACTCCGGACAGGGCAGGTATCTCTTCTGTTTAGAGGGAACTGCTCAGGGTGTTAGACATGTCAGGGAATCAGTTCAGCTGGACGATCACGAGCCGGCAACATGATCTCTGGCTCGTCCTTCTCGGGGGTACATGGAGCTGCTAGGCCTTTGGCGCGATGGGATCTTTCGCGACTGCGTGGCTCTCCAGGAGCTCTTCAACAATCTCACTCCCCCGTCCAGCAGCAAACTCCGGAATGTCATTCTCGGCTCTACATCTCTCAGCCATCCAAATGGGTGTGCGGGCTTGGAAGTGCTCGAACAACGTTTCGGAGGAGCTCGTGTGGGCCCTATCATGTCTCTCAGCTTGGGCAGACTCTTTGAGTTTGCTCGGATCTCTTGGAGAACCAGTTGAAGGCGATGGTTCTGAAGGACTAAGTGGTGGAAACCCTGCTACGGTCGGATAGCAACA